CCCCCCCCCCCCCCGAGGTCAAACACAACCCTGATGCAGCCCTCAATGAAATCGAGTTTGACACCCCTATCTTGGAGGAAATGACGATCCTTCTCCTTGGCATAGAAATGTGGAGCTGGTGGAGGGGGGGGAATTCTCCTCAGGAGACCCTCCCCACTGCAGCTGCCCCCAACTCATCCAAGTCAAACCTTGAAAAGCAATGAACGGTCACTCACGTTGGTCTCCTATCCATTCGATGACTCTGGTGGGCCCAGGAAGTTCAAAGAGATGCAGGTCGTTGTATCTAAGCAAGATGAATGGGGAGAGGGAGGGCATATTCAATGGGGGGGGGAGGAAGAGGTCGATGGTCTTCCCCACTTTCAGTCCCAATGAAGACAGCAATGCTCCACCTTAAGGCCATATTAGGGGGAGCATTGACTGACTCTGAAAACCTTGGGGTTGTCTGAAGAGCGCAATAATAAGCAAGGCCATCAATGGATGGAGCACCCAAGATCCATGGCTGGGAGATAATTGCAGGTAGTCCTTGGCTTACAATCATTTAAAATGACAATGACACTAAAAAAGGGACTTATGACCAATCTTCAAACTTAAAGCCATAACTGCATCCCCATTTAACAGAGTTGGAAGGGACCTTATAGGTCATCTAGTCCAACCCCCTGCCCAAGCAGGAGACCCTACATCATTTCTGACACATGGCAGTCCAATCTCTTCTAAAAACCTCCAATGATGAAGCTCTCACAACTTCTGAAGGCAAAGCTGTTCCATTGGTTGATTGCTCTCACTGTCAGAAAGCTTCTTATTCCCAGGTTGAATCTCTCCTTGATCAGTTTTCATCCATTATTCCTTGTCTGGCCTTCAGGTGCTTTGGAAAATAGCCCCTCAAATATTGAAAGACTGCTATCATGTCTCTCCTGGTCCTTCTCTTCACTAGACTAGCCATACCCAGTTCCTGCAACCGTTCTTCATATTAGAGAATTAGATTAGAAGAACTTTATTGTCATTGTACAACTACAAAGAAACTGTGGATGCACCCAAGCAACTGTTCGCAATACAATAAAACCAAAGCACTTAAAAATGAAGATAAGAAAAATAGAGTACCCATATCTCCATTTGCAATTTGAGAGTACAATATCTATGAATATACACAAAATATGCCTCCAACACTGACTGTAACGCTTTGCCGAGTATAATACACAAGAGATGGATTGTACTGTAATATGTTATTATACATCTGAATGGGGTATTGAGATTTCACATCTTTTCACATCTTAATAAGATAGTGACTTCGTGTTTATTTGCGGTTCGGATGGCCCAGGGAAAGAAACTATTTCTTAGTCTAGTGGTGTGGGATTTTATTGACCTAAAAACGCTGTCCAGACGGCAGAAGGTCAAAAAGATAATTGTCAGGGTGTGAGGGGTCTTCTATAATGGCCTTGATTCTGCTTTGGCAGCGGGACCTGGCTAAGTCTTCCAGGGAGGGCAGAGGGCAACCAATGATCTTTTGAGTTGTCTTTTATGTTTTAGTCTGCAGTCCCCTAATCATCCTAGCTGCTCTTCTCTGCACCTTTTCTAGAGTCTCAACGTCTTTTTCATAGTGTGGCGACCAAAACTGGGAGCAGTATTCTAGGTGTGGTCTTACTAAAGCTTTATAGAGTGGTATTAGTACCTCACTTGATCTTGACTGTACCCCTCTGTTAATACAACAAAGGATTAGCAATTGGCATTGCACTGACTAGGGGTCATATGATAATCATTTGCAACCTTCTCAGCTGGCTTCTGATAAACAGGATTGATGATGGAAACCAGATTTGCTTAATGATCACATGATTCGGTTAGCAATTGCAGCCATTTGCTAAAATCAACTCACTTAACAACTGTCTAGGATTACCTCTAGCTGAGCTCACATAATACTTAAAACTGGTCCCCAAATTAAGTCACTTTCGGAGTTCACACAATACCGATAAACCATAACCTAATCTGGTTTGTCATGAGAAAAATCTACCCTGTGTTAGCTAATAGCCTACACACATCAACTTGATGGCACATAATGAAAAAGCCGATGAGCCAGATTTGCAATACAGAAAACAGACCAAGATTAAGGCTGACCAAGATTAACCGTTTATTGAAAAGCTGGTTTGCAACTGACCTTTGCTTGTGGCCCTCCAATGGCAATGGGACTTTGGGGGGGGGGAGGCGCCTCGAAAGCACCCCATTCATTGGGCCAGCAATAGAGCAATGGATGAATTAAATCCTTTCATTCCCCACCATCCAGTCAGAGCTGAGGAAGCTCCTTGGATGAGAAGCGAAAAGTCTTCAAAGAAAAACTAGAAAGTCCAGTTGCCTCTTTAAAAAAAGCCCCTTAGGGATAACCATGGCTTGGACCAGGGGTCTCCAACCTTAGCAATTTGAAGACTTGTGGACTTCAACTCCCAGAATTCCTCAGCCAGC